AAAAAAAAAATAGTGACTGACAAAATATGATATGTAGCGTGATTTATTGCTAAAAGTCACTGAAACAACATAAGAATATGGTCCACTTTGTGTTCCATAGAAATTTCTGCTGACACAGAATCCGCTAGTTGATCACGTGACTTCATTCGTTGGATTACATTCTAGCAGACGACACTTGGAATTCCGATTACCGCTTGGGATTATAAGGAAATTCGGCCGATAAAAAATGATGACGTTTGGTAATAAGTGAAATCCGCCATTTTGTATTTGTCAAAGTATACATTAATACATTTTACCTTGCTTGAAACTACTGAATTCATTCTACTAGCTGATATTGTACAGAAAACCAATGTTTATCAAAACAAACTAATGCGGAGGTCGCGCAAGGTCGCTCATGTATATTATTAATCCTTTCCGGAAATCCACGAATAATAGGTTTCCACGAAATTAGGTTACTTGACTGTATAAGTCTATGGTTATAAATTAGCATCGTAAAGCTAGTGGTCCAGCTACAATATAATAACCTTTTACAACCAGTGGCCCAGTAACAGTAACCTGGTACTAGTAGGGTAGTTACGCGTACATGCCTGTGCCTGTACATTCGTAATATTACTTAACCACGATGTTACAAAATTCCAACGTCAATTTCAACATATAATGGGCTTTTCGGACTATCAACATTGTTTACATTTAGTGCGCATGTGTATTATAATAGTAAATATGACAACATCCGGTTTTTTACCAATCAAGTAGACAATTAACTTATCACACCATACAAGTGTCATCAAAACGGACGTGAGCATCCCTATCGGTTGCGTGATAGAGTAAACAGTGCAATTGAATCATCTAAAACTTATTATTACCTGTTTATATAATGTCTTTGCCTGGTTGCAGCGGAAAACCTCGAAGTGAGTCGAGTCCAACAGAGCTTGCACATGCAGGAGAAATGTCGTCGTTCCAGAAAAAGATTGACCAAACGTCAGATGTTTTAGGAAAACTTGACTTAAAGTCTTCCTATAAAAATGGTGAAATAAATTCAGACACAAGTAAGTCAGCAGATGTAAGAACAGACTCCCAACCAACACTTACAAGACGAAGGTAATTCCTATTACATTCCAATCTATTGATTAAAACTAAAAGGCCAATCTTAACTAGGCTACTTAATAATAATAGGCTAATAAATAAACCAGTTAAAAACTTTTGTACTAGGCCCCCTATACATGCGCAATAATTCCCTACTTGAGCATCAGGATAAACAACGTCGATTTAAAGGGACAGGTTTGTCATCCTTAGGACCAATCGTACCTTGGTCTCAGTATTGTACTTCAGAATCCAAATTACATCTATATTCAAGACCCAAATCAACCTCCGAAAAAGGCAAACCTGTCTTTTTTATAAGATCCTTTTCCATAGACTGCAATGTTAAATGGACGTTGTCTATGCCGAGATGGAAGTAGGGAATTAACGTGTTGTGCAAACACATACAGTTCCGAACTGGTTTATAAGGCTAAAGCCAGAGGCCTTTTCCTGCTTTTGCAATGCTAAAATAATTTGGTTCTATCCAGTTCTATCCAAATAACTTCAAGTTGCTTTTGTACTGGCAAATAACTTAGTGGGTTACAACTAGAAGTGGATTTCATATGGATACATTCTGGATAATTTGCAGAGCGAAACCAAACAATTCAATGAGGAAGAAAAATGATATTGCTACATTTATATATATACTATTATGTTTAGTCACCTGATACAACATGTTATTAAAAATAAAAAATAACTAGATATCTTTACTTGGCAGTGGGAAAGTGGCCATCTAAATAGGATAATATTGCTAAAGCAAACGAAATAGAATCAAACTGAATCAATTTTTTACCAAATTCAGTGATCCAGTCAGTTGTGCAGTGTGAAAGGGGTATGAGTTATAGGAAAAGTATAGGCCCTCCTACAATCTAGAATTAATTTTGATGTAAGCTTAAAGAATGTCTTTGCTAGTTTGGAAAAGAAGGAAGGCCTTAAAAGGCAATAAGTAGACTAACTTTATTGAATTATCCTTCAAGACGATCAAACACTCAAGGCTCAAAATACCTACACTGACAGATAATTAGATTGAATTGGAGAAACTTTTAATTGATTAATGTATTTTGATAGTTTTTGCCCTTGTTCTTCAATAGCACTGTAGGAGGCACATTGCTCTCAATTTTCAGGACACTAATTCATGATAATATGCCTAATATGATGGGTTCCATACTTCCTCACCTAATGTTTTCTTTATTTTTAGAAAAACAAGATCTTTATATGGTGTGAGTCCAAACTGTAAATTTGGTCCTAAAGCCTTGTTGGAAGAGGATGAATTCTTTCTGTAAGTATAATATTATTATACGCCCACATGAAATGGGAGGCGTATATTGCCGTCACCCATGTCCGTCCGTCCACAATTGCTGGTAAACACTCTACAAGACACAATTCTTAATGCATGAGTGTTCGTAATCACCCAAGGATGAACTCTATTGAAAATCAGAAGAATCGAAAAATATTTAGTATGAGTTATTGCCCTTGTTCTTGAAAACGCGTTAAATTTTTCTAGAAGGGACAATTCTTGACGGATTTTGACGAAACTTGGCATGAGTGTTCGTTATCACCCAAGGATGAACTCTATTGAAAATCAGAAGAATCGAAAAATATTTAGTATGAGTTATTGCCCTTGTTCTTGAAAACGCGTTAAATTTTTCTAGAAGGGACAATTCTTGACGGATTTTGACGAAACTTGGCATGAGTGTTTGTTATCACCCAAGGATAAACCCTATTGAAAATCAGAAAAATCGAAAAAAAAATTTAGTATGAGTTATTGCCCTTGTTCTTGAAAACGCGTTCAATTTTTAGCTTGTAAACACTCTAGAAGGCACCATTCTTGACAAAACTTGGTGTGAGTGTTCGTAATCACCCAAGGATGAACCCTATTGAAAATCAGGAGAATTGAAAAATATTTAGTATGAGTTATTGCCCTTGTTCTTGAAAACACGTTCCATTTTTAGCTTGTAAACACTTTAGAAGGTGACAATTTTTGAAGATTTTGACGAAACTTGGCATGAGTGTTTGTTATCACCCAAGGATGAACCCTATCGAAAATCAGAAAAATTGAAAAATATTTAGTATGAGTAATTTTCCTTGTTCTTGAAAACGCGTTCAATTTTTAGCCTGTAAACAGTCTAGATGGTTCAATTCTTGACAGATTTTGATGATATTATTCAGTATCACCTCAAAAAGTTCAAAAGAAGTGTATGTCTGAAGGTTGAATATTTCATACTGGTAATAGTACTGTACTGTACTGCCGAATATTTTTATTTCAAATCAAAGCTGCCAGTGGGCGTATATTACCTTGCCTGGCAAGCTATCTTTTAACTTGATGAAGGTAGAGAGGTGCTTTAAAAAAAAAACAAATTTGATGAAAAATCAGATTCTTTAGATCTTTTTTTTTCCTTGTTATAATTGTTATGTGGTTTACCAGAATCTAGTCATAATCTAAATGCAGATTACTTCTGAAACAATAATAGCAAGAAATGTATGGGGAGAAGCTAGTGTGTTATTTACACTGAAAAAGTACCACAGTTTCTGGTAAGGATACTGTATTATTCCATACACATTCTATTGCATTTTAACAATTTTTATCTGAGATGATTTCTACCAATATAATATATCAACCATACTATTTCTACACGCCCGTATCTCTCTTTTTAGACAAATATTGTTGGTACTATTGTCCTGAAATTTGATATAATATTTGCTTATTCAGTGGGTGTATTTGTATTTATAAAGGGACAGATTCGTCATTCATACCTTGGTCTCAGAAACATCTAATTGTAGTATTCAGCCTTCTTAGCCATTGTGTGGCCATAACCATCCCATTTTGAAAGTTAAAAAAAACGATTCGATTTTCAAATTTTGAAGATCAGTTAATACCGTCACATAAGCTTATATACAGTAGACTCAATCATCCTGTCCCACTTCAACTATGCATGCACTGCTGCAACAAAAGATGTCTGGGTTGTCAGAGACTATATGAAAAAGAAGTTTCTGATACCCCTTTTTTCAGAGAGAAGATAAGCCTACGAATAAAATAAATGAAAAAAAAAACCTTGTTTGAGGTCTGTTCAAAGGAATTTTTGCAAAATTACAGTTTAGTGCTTCTGAAGACTATATACATATATTCATGGCCCAAATCAAACCCTGAAAATGGCTAATCTGTCCCTTAAAGCAGAGAACAATCTCATCATTTAATAGCTGTAATGTCAAATAGCTGTTGTTAAACTTTAACTTTCAAACCCTGCCTTGATTCATAAAATCTTATTAACTTTTTGATCTTCAAATTGACAAATATAATCATGGTTTACTGGGATTTTTTTAGCTCTTTTTATTGAATGGTTGAATACTAAACAGAAGAACAAATATTGAAATGAAATGAATTGTCATGAAACAGGACGTTATTTGGTGTGTGTGTATCTTATAGACCAGGAAGACAAATAGATATATTTTATTGCACAAGCCCACGTCATTTCATGTTTTTAATTTTATTCTGGTCTTGAATATTCAGTATTATTATTCAGGAAGAGTTTCTTATGTTAGCATTCACAATGTAAATAGCCTAGAGGTTTCTATTATATTTGCTTTTTTATGTTCAACTAGACTTTTTATTCAGATCTAGATTCTATTTCACAAGATATTAAATACATTGTTAACAATCTACTTTACATGGTCAGTTGGATTTAGTAATTATTTGAGAGAAGAAAAGAACTTGAATGTTTTGGTTCATAAATTTTACACATAGGTTATATGGTCCAATAATCATTAAATATTTACAAAAACAAAATTTTTCAGTGCATACCAGCCAGAAGATACTGTAGTAAAGTTTTCCCTTTATGCTGGAAACATTTGATCAGTACATATTATTCAACATAATGAGGTAGACAATGAGACAATGTTCACTCTAAATGGCTAAATATATACATAAATCCATTTTAAAGGGCTGAGTAGATGATAAGAAAATGGTCACTCTAAAGGGCTGAATAAGTAGACAATATTCACTCTATAGGGCTGAATAGACGATAAGAAAATGGTCACTCAAAAAAGCTGAATAAGTAGACAATATTCACTCTATAGGGCTGAATAGACGATAAAAAAATGGTCACTCAAAAAAGCTGAATAAGTAGACAATATTCACTCTATAGGGCTGAATAGACGATAGGAAAATGGTCACTCTAAAGGGCTGAATAAGTAGACAATATTCACTCTATAGGGCTGAATAGACGATAAGAAAATGGTCACTCAAAAAAGCTGAATAAGTAGACAATATTCACTCTGTAGGGCTGAATAGACGATAAAAAAATGGTCACTCAAAAAAGCTGAATAAGTAGACAATATTCACTCTATAGGGCTGAATAGACGATAGGAAAATGGTCACTCTAAAGGGCTGAATAAGTAGACAATATTCACTCTATAGGGCTGAATAGACGATAAGAAAATGGTCACTCAAAAAAGCTGAATAAGTAGACAATATTCACTCTATAGGGCTGAATAGACGATAAAAAAATGGTCACTCAAAAAAGCTGAATAAGTAGACAATATTCACTCTATAGGGCTGAATAGACGATAAAAAAATGGTCACTCAAAAAAGCTGAATAAGTAGACAATATTCACTCTATAGGGCTGAATAGACGATAGGAAAATGGTCACTCTAAAGGGCTGAATAAGTAGACAATATTCACTCTATAGGGCTGAATAGACGATAAGAAAATGGTCACTCAAAAAAGCTGAATAAGTAGACAATATTCACTCTGTAGGGCTGAATAGACGATAAAAAAATGGTCACTCAAAAAAGCTGAATAAGTAGACAATATTCACTCTATAGGGCTGAATAGACGATAGGAAAATGGTCACTCTAAAGGGCTGAATAAGTAGACAATATTCACTCTATAGGGCTGAATAGACGATAAAAAAATGGTCACTCAAAAAAGCTGAATAAGTAGACAATATTCACTCTATAGGGCTGAATAGACGATAAGAAAATGGTCACTCAAAAAAGCTGAATAAGTAGACAATATTCACTCTATAGGGCTGAGTAGATGATAAGAAAATGGTCACTCTAAAGGGCTGAATAAGTAGACAATATTCACTCTATAGGGCTGAATAGACAATAAGAAAATGGTCACTCTAAAGGGCTGAATAAGTAGACAATATTCAATCTATAGGGCTGAATAGACGATAAGAAAATGGTCACTCTAAAGGGCTGAATGAGTAGACAATATAAACTCTATAGGGCTGAATAGACGATACGAAAATGGTCACTCTAAAGAGCTGAATAAGTAGACAATATACACTCTATAGGGCTGAATAGACGATAAAAAAATGGTCACTCTAAAGGGCTGAATGAGTAGACAATATTCACTCTATAGGGCTGAATAGACGATAAAAAAATGGTCACTCAAAAAAGCTGAATAAGTAGACAATATTCACTCTATAGGGCTGAATAGACGATAAGAAAATGGTCACTCAAAGGGCTGAATAAGTAGACAATATTCACTCTATAGGGCTGAATAGACCATTAAGAAAATGGTCACTCAAAGGGGCTGAATAAGTAGACAATATACACTCTATAGGGCTGAATAGACGATAAGAAAATGGTCACTCAAAAGGGCTGAATAAGTAGACAATATTCACTCTATAGGGCTGAATAGACGATAAGAAAATGGTCACTCAAAGGGGCTGAATAAGTAGACAATATTTACTCTATAGGGCTGAATAGACCATTAAGAAAATGGTCACTCAAAAGGGCTGAATAAGTAGACAATATTCACTCCAAAGGGCTGAATAGACGATAAGAAAATGGTCACTCAAAAGGGCTGAATAAGTAGACAATATTCACTCTATAGGGCTGAATAGACGATAAGAAAATGGTCACTCTAAAGGGCTGAATAAGTAGACAATATTCAATCTATAGGGCTGAATAGACGATAAGAAAATGGTCACTCTAAAGGGCTGAATAAGTAGACAATATTCAATCTATAGGGCTGAATAGACGATAAGAAAATGGTCACTCTAAAGGGCATTGTCACTAAAGGTAATAAGATGTATGTGCTTCCAAATTTATTACCGGTAAATGGGCAGTATGTAAAATTTTCATTATAAAAAACTTCATAAATTATACCTTAAGATATTTCTAAAGTATGCTATTTATATTCATGTATCTAAATTAGTTGATCAAACTGAATTTGTTTTAACATGGTTAATTAAAAACAGAGAATATTTATTGTTATTAAGCACTTTGACCTTGTTTTGTTGTATATCGCTTGATATTATTAGTTGAAA